AGACGTGCTGGAGATAAGTGCATGGAGGCAAATGCACACTTGTCTCAACACCGGCTTCGTTACACAGTGATGCCATCCATCCTACACTCATTTCCACTATGGCATGACAAGACTTTGATTAAATGCCCCATCCCTGGAAGTATCCAAGGCCAGGTTGGATGAGGCTTTGAGCAATCTGACCTAGTGGAAGGTGTCCCTGCCCATGGCAGGGGGGGTGGAACTAGATGGGCTTTAAGGTCCCTTCCAACCCAAACCATTCTATGATTCTATAAAGCAGCATGGGAAATAAACTAGTTTAAAGTGGTTTACTTTCTTTCCTTAGAAGAGGACATGGAAAACAGAAAGCTGTCATTAAATATCAAGTCTTTTGCCTTCTTCAGATTCTGTCAGCCTGAGCCTAACCGCAACCGACCCTGTTTGTGGTTTTGTTTCAGGGACGAAGACAAATACCACAGCCATAAAAGACGAAAGTAGAAACAAGAACCTGATTATTTGGCTTGTCAGCTGTTCAAACAATTCCTCGCGTGGGACCTATCGTTACAGCTGTCATGCCAGCAACAGTAATGCTGTGTCCATAATACTGGTGTTGGATCACGGCTGTGCTGGGCGACAGAAGTAAAACAGGGTTAAGGTCTGTCAGGGCGGAAGCAGTATATGTCAGAATATGTATTAACTGTGTGACACTAATGCAGCTATTAATAAATTATATTGATCTTTCTCATCTGTTTGAGCTTAGTCTGACAAGGCTGAAGAATGAAATCTGTGAGAGGCTGCCCTAATTTGCCTTCCTGGCCTACAGTTAGAGGATACAGGACAGAGCTAATCCTGGAGTCTGGGATCAGTTACCAGTGAGAAGGCGTGAAGAGAGCTCCCCTCCCACCTGACACTCACCTCTGGGAGCTGTCTTCCACAATTCTTACCAGAGGTGAGAGAGCAGATTTCAGAGTTCTCTAACAGCCTGAAATACCTTCTACTGCAGCTGGTGGTAAAAGGGCAGAAACAGGAATGTTACTGTTCCCAAGCTCACGCTCAGAGGAATTTAGGAGCAGTGTCAGCTGACACAGATGACGAGAATGCAGTTCTCCACAGAAACTAGTGGGGAGGTACCAAAGACACTTGCAGTATTGCTGATTGCCGTTGTCAAACACCGGCTGCAGACACACTTCCTTCCAGAACTAACCAGGAGGAGCTCCCGTCCCGCAGACTAACGTGTACGTATTAGTCACAGAGGTTGGTGAGACAGTAAGGCTGAAGTTGTGCAGGTGCATAGACTGAGAGCGTGCAGGAGGATTCCGCTCAACTTCAGTGCTATTTTTGTTACAACATTTCTGAGTCCTGTTAATTCCTCTCACAACCTACTACAGCACGGTCAGTCATCATCAGCTAAGCTTGTCACTTCCACAAAGTAAAGCCACTGCAAAAGAACATGGTTGCAGATCCATCTTTCTACAGCACTTTCTTCTGTTTGATGGAGTTGCCAGGAGAGGGCACTCCATATGCTCTCGGTTTTGGCCTTCTCCGGTACTGGAACCTCCCCAGTTTTCCTGTAGCCACTAGTATCTTGACTCGTGTCTCAGTCGTTCCTGCAATCAAGTACGATTATCTGTCACTAAATACTTAGTCTGATTTGGGTTGGTTTAGACCTCTGTGCCTACTGCAGCTGTTCAGCTCAAAACCAGACTCTGCTGCAGGTCAGGCATTTCCTCACCGACGTGATAAATGTGGTAGCTTTACCTGTCACAAAACAAGATGTATTTTCAAACAGATCCTTAATTAGAAAATTCCATCTAAGAAAGGAAAGGATATCTTAAGTTCTGAAAGGGTCCTAATTAGAGGGAAAACAGTATGGAATCATTGCTGTCCATTCTTGAGTTGATATTTCTTCCAGCAGCTCAGGCACAGTGATTTTCATGTGGAACAGGGCTTGGTAACGCTATTCATTTCACAGAGCTTCTTCGTTCAGATGAGGCAGTCAAGAGACAAGCTGTATTCATCCAAGGGTCAAAAGTCCGTGCTACCCAGAAGCATAATGAGAAAGGCACCAGTTACAGCTGTCCAGCTTCTCTAAACTGAATTTCTGTGGTTTACTGCTTTTCTTACAATCATCACAAAGTCAGGATCCGCACCAAAACAGGTGTTACTCAATATAAGCAAAGGAGTGAAGGCATCACTCCCTAGGTGGGAGCATCTTTGACAGGCAGGAGAACAGTACAAGCAATTCACATCCACTGAAGGGATAGTGGATGCTAATTCAAGCGCGGGATAAAGAGGGCATACCA